CATTATACGAACACTTTCGGAGCATTATCCGCTGGGGCCTAACCATCACACTCCAACTCAACCAACTGCTTTTGAAACCTGTGACATAAAAGGAAAACAGTACAGTATCTAGACTCACGTAGGCGGCAAGGATCAGTGCGGAGCGTTGTCCAGGTTCCTGGGAATTGACAGTTCATAGTTGACTGTATTGCACTTTGATCATTCAGGAAACCAGTCTTGCACTTTACACTAAGCATTGTGTTCTCTGCTGATATAAAATCTGTCGAGTCTATTCCATTCTTTGGATTTGATGGCTGGTTGAATATTTCTACAGATCAATGCCAGGGAAAACGAAAATAACTTTAGTTTAATCAATAACATGCATAAATATGTAGAAATCACTGATCAATCACGACCCCTGTGACCAGGGGAATGGTCACAAATCCCCGAACCGCATTCATAGAGTCCCACACATGTTTGAATTTCGATGACCACTCCCACCCTGGTTTGTTTACTGATGACTAGTAACGCCAGTTTGTATACCGATGACCAGTTCCACATATGTTCATATTTGATATGACTGTAGGTATACGTGACGTCATGGTAACCGCTTCACCAGAGGTCAGGACAACCCTATAAGTATTATCATTACTTCCTCCGGAAACAAATATTTCGTGACTTTTTGACATGACTTTCCAAGGAGTTAGTGTGCTCAACAAAAGTGTTCTTTTGGACGAGAAACACTTCAAATTATTCAACCGACATATCAACAATATCTCTAGGATCGATTAGTGGGAGTAGATTCTCAGTCTGGGCCGCCATTGCTCGACTCATCACCGCTCAAACCGTTCCAAGTGCCAGGTCGATCGACGCAATGTCGTATGTCACGGAGAAGCTTCTCACCGTCCCTGATCGTCTTCGCTGTTACCTGAATGCCTTCTCCAACATCTCGGCGGAGACAACAGTAGCGCTGAAGCGCTGGTACTCATCACCGCCTCGGCTCTCGCTCGAGGATGCCCCGGAACAACAACACGGTCAACGCCAAACGTTTCAATTTTCCTCCGAGGGATATCATAGTCGTACCAGCGCTTCCGACTGCCGCGATCAGATCCCGCCTTCTCCTTTTTGACCAAGGACACATTGCTGAGGCTGCTGGAAAAGGCGAGATCAACCACGTTGAGGTCTGGGCTCTGCAGTGGCTGAACGACTTCTATTTTTGAACTTGTTCATCTTGCTCTGCTACGCGAAGTGACGATTGTCACATCTCTGCGTTGAAGTTTTGACATCTTGCCGACCTGTTCGCACGCAGACAGGCGTTTCGAGGATGGCGAATTGCGCCTGATGGACGAAAATGAAAAACATGTTTGCTTTGCTTCTTTTGCAGCGTCGACGCCCTTGCTCTGCGACGATTGTCGGCTCTCCAAACTATTAATCATGCTTTCCTACGATGCCGAAATGTCATGTCAGTGTTTCAGGCTGACAGAACGAGAGAGAGAGAGTGAGAGAGAGAGAATGAGAGAGAGAGAGAGAGAGAGAGAGAGAGAAAGAGAGAGAGCGCGAAATAACAGCAGCGAAAAGTAGTGACAAAAGTCAAGAAGTTTTTGTTTCCGGGGGAAGTAATAGTATATGCTTTTCCGCGGCAATGTCAGCCGCACAATGGTAACCCACATATTTGCATATGCCAAACTGCGCCACGTGTCCATACGAAATAAGAGAGGGGATAACAAAACAAAAAACAAAAATAATAACACAAAAGAGGAAAAAACTGGAAAGTAACGATGAAGCATAAAAATGAAGGAACAGAACAGGCCAAACACGAGTAATATGTATATAATACAACCCAACAGTACGCTTGTACGTGAAATATAAACCGACATACAAACCGAGGCGAAGCCGACGTTTGTATGATGGTTTATATTTCACGTACAAGTGTAGCGGGCCGCAGTCTCTCTCGGAGGCAAATGCACACGGGTCTCAGTGAACACACTGTAATTGGCAATTGAAATGTACTGGCAACGAAATTAACTGATTGGCAACTAAATTAACTAACTGGCAACTAAATCAACTGATTGGCTACTAAATTAACTGACTGGCAACTAAATTAACTGATTGGCTACTAAATTAACTAACTGGCTACTAAATTAACTGACTGGCAATAAAAGAATCGTGAGCAGCAGCTTTTATGCAAAGGCAGAGTCCGTACGCTACTGTACGGGGATACGCTAACGTATGGGGATACAGTACGGGGATATGCTAACGTACGGGAATACAGTAACGTACGGGTTATGCTAACGTACGGGGATACGCTATACGCTACACCTCCCCTCTCAAATACAATCACGTCCTCGTGATTCGAATACTCGGTGATAGCTGGACACCAACAACTGGCTGTTATTTAGAAGAAACTGGCGGCATGCATGGTCGCGTCGGAATAAACTCGACGATAAGAGATAGGCAGAATGGATGGATGACTTGAATAATATAATACAGGTATGGAGTCGTGAACATTATAGTAGATCGCGAATTGCTGGGAGAGCGTCAACCGGAGTATGGCAAATAATATCGGAAATGATAACGTTTGGAATAGACAGAAGAATGAACTGATAAACAAAATCATAAAGTAGAAGCACACCAGGTTCACACGATCTCACGGGGTCAAAAGGGGAAAGAACTGTCCTCCAAATAGGACCTGAAACCACAGCACTCTTGCTGCACAACACTGGCACAACCTGCCAGGAACATCGCAGTTCAAAAACCGAACTGAATACACTATACTATATAATTATCACTATTCACTATACGGGGCATTGTCACACACATTGTCCCAGGTTAGCTGGGTAAACCGTGGCTCACCATGATCGGACGCCTACCAAACTAAACTGGATTCACACACTCGCATAAAGGAAGACTGAAGAGAATAGGAAGACTGAAGGAAGACAGGAAAGAAAATGCCATACCTGGAATCAGCGTTAGTAACCACGGCGGCGGCTGGAGCTATGGCGGAGGGCGAGCCAGGTTTTATCTTCATCTTGATTGAGCCGGTCACTCAGAGAGGCGAGCTCGGCGTCAGGCAGATCGCTCCCTCCTCGTCTTGAATCGTGGTCTTCACATTGTCGATAGCATCGCTTTGCGCGACGTAAAGAGTGATGGTCTAGCCAGGAAGAGTGTTGACGAAAATCTGCATCCCACCACGGAGACGAAGTACCAAGTGAATAGTGGACTCGTGCTGAACATTGAAGTCACTCAGGGTTCGGCCGTCTGCCAACTGCGTGCCGGCGAAAATCAAACGCTGCTGGGCTTGGGGAATAAACTCCTTGTCTTGGTCAGCAGCCTGCCTGTCGTCGTCTGCATCAGCTTCGCCATCACCACCGGTAGTATACATGTAGGTAGCGGGTCGCTTGGAATCGCCATCGGAGTCTCCAGTGTGTGCCGTGCGGAGAGAAGGGTGATCCACGCTAGCACCCTGACTGTGCTGCAGGCTAATAAGCAGGGCCAAGCCCAGGAAGGCAAGAAACATGATTCTCATCTTGATTCGTCGCACGGAGCTGTAGCGGGTTGAGCCATGGGGGTCCGAGAAACGTGTAAAGTAACACAGTTAGGTAGAGAATAAAACAAAATGAATTTACCGCTGCCACCAATTTGTAGCGCGTAAAACAGGTGGGGTCGAATCTGACAAAGTTGACTTTAACCACCGCTGCCACCAATTTGTAGCGGGCCGCAGTCTCTCTCGGAGGCAAATGCACACGGGTCTCAGTGAACACACTGTAACTGGAAATTGAAATGTAACTATAACTGACAATGAAATTAACTGGCAATGGAATTAACTGACTGGCAACTAAATTAACTAAGTGGCTATTAAATTAACTAACTGGCAATACAAGAATCGTGAGCAGCAGCTTTTATGCAAAGGCAGACTCCGTACGCTAATGTACGGGGATACGCTAACGTATGGGAATACAGTACGGGGATATGCTAACGTACGGGAATACAGTAACATACGGGATATGCTAACGTACGGGGATACGCTATACGCTACAATAGTTCTATAAGTACTGCAACCTTCGACTGTAGTGTGCTAACTCCAAACTAGTCGGGGATCAGCCAGATTCCGAAGGCCAGTGAGAAAAAAACACATCCGTAGAGTTTTAAGCTGCTGAGATAAATTCATCTGGGTCGAAGAAGGCTGAGAATCACGACTAGTCACAGAGGGTCTATCAAAGCAGCACAAGTAATTTGCCTCTTTCAGCCAATAGTGGCACTGCGATGCGAAAAACAAGTTATTCGCATAGGAATAAAATGTTGGCGCCCGTTCTGCGATGGATTGGGGCACTGCCCCCCCCCCCCTCCCACATCTCTGCACGCGATGATCATTTGTATAACTACATATTTCATGGACCAGTGCCTTGGAGAGTGTCTTCCCTGAAAATCAAGAGGTCCGGAGTTTGAGACCCGCTCTGGTAGCAGGGGTCGTGTACTGTGCTAACAAATGCTGTGATGCATGCGTGAACCCCCTTGCATGCAATACATTGCGCAGACACCCACCGTCAACTGGGCATTGACTTACTACTTGACACTCAGAGTGAGGGTAACATGGATTCAGCTGACACGGTTTCACCCCCTTATTGGGCGCTGGCGGTGAGACTGGCCACCTCACCCTCGCGGGTACACCCTATAACTGCCACTGCGGTATGATGGTGGCCCACCACAAGCAAACAATCCTATGCTTTGTACAGTCGGTTGCAACGTGGATTTTCGAAAGAGTAAACTCATGGAAGAACAGTTTTGTCTCTCTCACACACACACAATTACACATACACACTATCTCACAAGCCCCCTCTCTCACTCACTCTCTCTCTCTCTCTTTCTCTCTCTCTCTCTCTCTCTCTCTCTCTCTCTCTCTCTCTCTCTCTCTCTCTCTCTCTCTCTCTCGCTCTCTCTCTCTCTCTCTCTCTGTCTCTCTCTCTCTCTCTCTCTCTCTCTCTCTCTCTCTCTCTCTCTCTCTCTCCTGGTACCCAGCCAATTCTACCTTACTGAAAAATGTGATGGAAACCATGACAACAGAAGTCTTACTATGGCAACGCCAATGTCCCATGAATCCAGGTAGCAGCCACAGGACAATACTTTACCCTCATTATTAAAACAATGCAGGGAGCGTTCATTCTTACCAGAACAGTTTCTTCCTGCGGCTGTAGAACAAGGAGGAGAACAAACAAAAGAGAGTCAACAATGACAACGAGCAGAGTGTAGAAAATATGCACACATAATGCATGCGTGTACACACACACACCCACACACACACACACACACACACACACACACCTTTTGACCTTTTGACGCCCATCGCCGGAGGCGATGATAGCAATGCTACGGCAGAAGCCTTTGCAACTTGTGCTGGGATTGCACCATTCAACAGCTTGCAAGGCTGAAGAATTGACCGTCACTATTCAGACTGGTCTACACCATACAGCTATTTGAAGTGAATTTTTTTCTGGCCAGTGAATCCCTATTTTTGGTCTTTTTCTTTTTTCTTCTTCTTTTTTTCTTCTTTTTTTTCCCGCACACACATCACACCACTTACTCCGGCATGCACTGGCACACGCACGCACACACACACACACACACACACACACACACACACACACACACACGCACACACACACACACGCACACACACACACACACTCTACTACTACTACTACTACTACTATTGACAGCTGCCAGAAATGGCCACGCCGCTCCCCGAAGGGAGGTACTGTCAGAGAGGTTAGGGGAGAGGTAGGCAGTGGTTCAAATGGCACTCCAGGTCCTGCCGCCTCCGAAACTGGTGTTGATTACAGACTCGGCAATGATGTTGAAAGTGCTGGCGATCAGTCACTGTAGGGCGCTTCAGGCGGGGTCCACAGCGATGGCGCTTGAGGCCAGCAGTTGACTTGAAAGTACGCTGGCAGGCTGTACACACCGGGAATTCGGCAACAGGAGGAGCAACACTAGGCGGTCGGTCGTCACAGTTGTCACTCTCTTGGCACTTATGCACCGCAAGCCCACCCCTGCTCCGGAGCCATCTACTGCAGGCAGAACACTGCACTGACCCAGGCTGTTGTGATACGGGGAGCTGTCGGACTGCTGTGCACTTGTGCCGGGCCATGTCAGCGCAACGACGAAACAGGCGGCCGTAAACGTGGTTCACAATCGTCTTTGGGGCAGGCTCCTTCACCCCCGCTGCTGCCGACACAATATCACGCCACTCTCCGCGATCGTTGGCCGACTCGAACCAATTGTGCACACCGGCCACAGTCAGATCAGCCTGGACAGCGTCCTTCCAGCGATGTCGGGGGCCGCAAAACGGGCGGGTTCGTGGGAGATGAGCGAAGCGCAACTGCTTGGGTAACCGATTGTCATCAAGCCGAGCTAGGTGCCCAAGCCACTCCAAGTGTCTTCGCTGTACCATGCACGACAGTGGAGTAGGGTCACCCCACTGTGCGCGTAAATACTCCGATGTGATGTGTTGCTCCCTTTGGCGGCCGCGCGAAATGCCAAGGATTGACCGTAGGTTGGCGTGATGGAACCTGGCCAGCTTGTCCAAATCCGACTTCAATGGGGTCCAACATTCCGAGCCATACAAAACCGGGGTGAGAACACATACCATGTACAAATGCCGTCGAGTAGGCAGGTTCAGGCTCTGATCATGTAAAATTCGCCGAAGACAGCCAAAGGCCCTGGCACCCTTCGCAAGGCAGCTCTGGACATCGGCATGAGCTCGCGAATCCGGAGTTTTTATAGATCCAAGATAGGGGAAGGAGGTAACAGCTTCAACCCTTTCATTGCCAACTGCCAGATCGGAACAATCAGTGGCAGCGACTCCATAGCCCGCGACCAGTAGCTTAGTCTTCGTCATGCTGACCGTGAGGCCAAAGCTGGATGCCACATCGCAGAAGGCAGATAGGGAGAGGTCGGCTGCAGCATGAGTTGTTGCGAGTAGGACGGCGTCATCGGCAAACTCAAAATCATCAGCATGACCAGTCTGAGACTGTCAACGTCGCCCAGCTGCACGGGGAAACAACTGCCCATCAATCAAGAAGCTGAAATCTACACCAGACTGGATGCCGCGCTCCCTGAGAACAGACCTCTACCGCTCCATCACCAATCTGAAATACAGGTTGAACAGCACAGGAGCCATGACACACCCCTGCCGCATATCATTTTGCACAGAGATCGGATCGGTACAACCACCAGCAACACGAACAGACGCCAACATGTCCGTATGGAACGACTTCACGAGAGCCACAGCCTGAGGGGGGACACCGAGCTGAAGCAATGCCTGCCACAGAGCCTCACGAGGCACAGTGTCGTATGCTTTGCGGAGGTCCACAAAGACGCAAAACAGCTTCGATCGATGCTCCAATGATTTCTCTACCAGTTGGCGGACAGAGAAGATGGCATACACACACGCCATGTATCATGCACACCCATACACATACTCCTACTCCTGCCCATCCCTGAAGTGATGATAGCGAACAGCTATGTTAGACATAGCAACATGCGCTGGGATTACACCGTTCAACAGCTTGCAAGGCTGATGAATTGACCGCCGCTAATTTTGGCCTGGTCTACACCACACGGCTGGTTGAAGTGGCTTTTTCTGGCCAATGAATCCCCATTTTCCATTTTTGTTTCATTTTGTCTTTTTTTTCTTTAATTTTTCTTTTTTTAGCACACATACAACACCACATACTCCGTCATTCACTGGCTGTTGGTGACCACCCAGGAAAATGAAAGAAGAGCTAGGAGAATGAGAAAGAGAAGAAAGACGTGTACGTTCATAATCCTCGGGAATTGAACCCGCAACCTCTAGATTGGAAATGTACTGCACTTATCACTGCACCATATGGGACACACATACACACGCACGCACACTCATACAACCACGCACACACACACACACACACACACACACACACACACACACACACACACACACACACACACATACACACACAAGCCCATAAGACTGGAAATGGGGAGGTGGATTTGCATGCAGAAGAACTTACTTCGCATGTTGGCTGGAAACTACCAGTACTTGCCACATCCACCTACACACATGACAGAGCGTACCAATAAAACAAGGGGTTCAAATCAGATGCATGCGAATACACGTGCACACACATACACACACACACACACACACACACACACACACACACACACACACACTGCATTGCAGTATATGCAAGAGAAAGGTCCTGCTATTCACCCGTATTCTGCCGTATTTGCACAGAAATCATTGCCTTACCTGTTGCATGGTATTGGACTTCAATTCCCGAAGTTATGCAAAAAAGTTAGGTTAATAGCGTCTAGAGCGCTTCATTTTGTATCTGTGCGTGTGTGTGCACGCGCGTGCGCATGTGTGTGTGCGTGTGTGTGTATGTGTATGTGTGTGTGTGTGTGTGTGTGTGTGTGTGTGTGTGTGTGTGTGTGTGTGTGTGTGTGTGTGTGTGTGTGTGTGTGTGTGTGTGTGTGTGCGGCGGTGCACGCACCCATACCAGTGCATGCCGGAGTATGTGGTGTGATGTGTGTGCGGGAAAAAAATTAAAAGAGACCAAAAAGTAGGGATTCACTGGCCAGAAAAAGCCAGTTCATGGCTGTGTGGTGTAGGCCAGGCTGAATAGCGGCAGTCAATTCTTCAGCCTTGCAAGCTGTTGAATGCTGCAATCCCAGCACAAGTTGCTATGGCTACTGCTGTAGCATCACTATCGTCGCCTCTGGCGATGGGCGCCAAATGGTGAAATGGTGTGCGCGCGCGTGTGTGTATGGCAGGGCGATCCCTAGTTCGGAGCCAAACTTGCCAATCAAAAATTGCAATCAATATTAATTTTTTTGTTGCTGCGATTGAAGCAGTCAACTGCCTGGGAAACTTGCTGTATTGGATCTTATAGTATACGTACATGTACGTAGTCATTGAACAGTGTGTGTGACTGTGTGAGTGCGTGCGTGCGTGCGATTCAGTGTAGCACAAGGTAGTACACAGTCGCAGCGATCCGGCAAGGAGCCGCTAGCCTACAAAACTCGCACAGTCAATCTGCGCGCTTCTAGCGCTGGGTGGTAAGAAGTAAGCAACGGACACAGCTATGGTCTATGGAGGGCTCGCACACAAACACACACACACACACACTGCCTAGGTCATGCGATCCAGGTTTCGAAAACAAATTCTGAGGTAATTATTTTAGACAAACATGAACTACTAGTAAATCTAACCATTTTCTGTGTGCGGCGGTGTGGCGAATGTCAGCAAACGAGCCTGATCGGAGTGAGATGTAGGCTAGCGTCTAGTCCGTGGTCTGCGTCTGCTAGATCTACAATCATAACTTCCTCTCAAGCACAAATACCTCTGTCCTCACCTGCAGCACAACTAACAAAAGCACTAGCGCTAGCAAGCAACAACTAACTTACTAGACTACAACACGCGTTGCAGCTACTTCTGGGAGTCGTAGATCTAGCAGAAGTAAGTACGATCATGTTGGTCTAGCCAACAAAAAAATCCCTTCAGACTGCATAGCATGTGAGTCTTGTGACACTGACAAAGACTAAGTGACAGCGGCTCGATCGTGGAATGTTCAGTCGTGCCAGTTCAGATTTCGCGGGTCGAAGCAGCAGCCACTCACAGACTCGGCAGTCGATACACATGATACATGGCAGTCTGCGGCGTACATGTACCAGATGTACAGAGTCGTATGACGTGACGACAATGCTAGACTACACACACACACACAAAAGAAACTAGTTTCGCGGGAAAAAATATTGTGGTGGCTAGATTTTTTTATGTGACGTCGACGTCGCGGCGCGCGGGCCGACACGACATCACGTGCACTGTCCGCCGCGCCGGTGCCGTGCTTGCTGTAACATGCCGGTCATGCCGCGGCCGCGCGCATCCCTGACATGAATCAGTACAGTGTCAGTACAGAGTCTACAGACTACACTACGCCTACACTACACTACCCTACAGTCTACATAACAACTGTTACTCTTACTCTTAGTCTTACTGGTGACAATATTGTACAGAGTAGATCTACTTGAGAAGTAAGCCTTATTAGTTGTACAGACTACAGCGGTACAGGAGAGGGCAGGCTCAGCTCCGCCCATTCTGGCCCATCTGGGGTCTCGTCTCGTTTGCAGTTGTAAGCGTAAAGTAAGCCGGATTCGCGGACGTCCGGACGCATCACCCGGGTACTGACGTGTTCAGTTAGGACCACAGCTAGCAAATACAGGTACATTCGCGTCGGCGGGCCACCACTTCGCCCATATGATATCCTCAGTGTCGAATGCAGACCTCACAAGTGAGTCCGGGGGAGAGGGGATAAGTCTCTTTTGCAGTACCACGAAACTGGGAGGAGTCACGAAGCTGCTTTTGGTCTCTGTTGTTCTGCCTTGCGTGCATAGTGTACAATCATGTACAATGCACATGTACTTGTACAATGCACATGTGTGTACTACATGTACACTATGTACATCATACATTGTACATCATGTATGTACAATTATTGTACAGGCATGTAGTCATTGTACAAAAGCCTCTAGTACTAGTAGATCTACGGGAAAAATGAATTGCACATACTGTAGATTGGATGAAGGCTGCAGACATCACGCAACTACATGTACGTTACTTGCTTGACATGTATTTACTGTGTATTTTATAACAAAAATATTATTGAAAACCCATAATCGATTTTCTTGTTCCTATCATCAGTGGGAAAAAAAGGAGGGCAACAGCAAACTACTCCACAGATATTTATGCCAGAAACGGCCAAGGACCGCGCGTTGTGGACAATACCAACAGAAGGAAGGTCGAGCAGGATCATGAGTCAGTGAGTGAAGCGGATCTGGAGGAACAACTCCGTTCACGGGACGAGCAGCTAGCAAATGGGAGACAAGTGGTCTGTACAGAAACGGAGGATGAGACAGGTGATCAGAGGATGGAAGAGCAATTGGATGACGAAACGGTTGGTGAGGAGACAGAGGACGAGGCAGATGATGGTAGTGATGATGATCGTGAGGATGACGAGCGGAGCGAGGAAGAGGATGATGAGATGGACGAGGAGGAGTCGGGTGGGAAGGAGCGAGATGAAGCGGATGAATGTGTTGATCGTAAGAAGTCAGCTGTGTATCTACACTTGTTATCTCGTCCTGACTGTCTTAGTGTGTATGATGACTCTCATTTTTCTGTACTGTGTCGTGCGCGTTATGTCCAACAGTTGAAAGTCCTTGAGGCAGTTTGTATACGTATTCATAAGTCTGTTTTGTGTAAGCAGAAGGAGCCCGTTGTTGCACTGAAGTTGTATTCGTCGGTTGACACTTCGTTTAGTGCCTTCTCGCCTTTGGTTACGTAATCTTGTTACCTTTTTGCGTTTCCTCTAGTGGTTTTATTGCACTTGTATCTTGTTGTTATTTCTAACACCTTTCTATTTACAGTACTTAACTTCAGTTTCTTTGGTTGTATCCTTAGTTCCGTATTTTTCCCACTGATGATAGGAACAAGAAAATCGATTATGGGTTTTCAATAATATTTTTGTTATAAAATACACAGTAAATACATGTCGAACAAGTAACGTAGTTGCGTGATGTCTGCGGCCTTCATCCTATTCATAGCTACATGTATATTAAAATTATTATCTCCACGTAGATTATTTACATACTGTAGAACGGGTAATTTTAGCGACTATTAATTTCAGCGTTTTCCCATTGTCAACCGGTTAGCGACGTTTTATTTTAGTGATTTGCAGCGATTTTACTCACGGATCACCAGTGCACTACTAATGCCCCAACGGATTAGCGACTTGAAACTTTAGCGAAAATGAGTCGATCGCTAAATTCGCTAGGGTTTTTACGTCGCTAAGATTACCCGTTCTACAGTACACTGCACATGTCCAAACTCATACTAGTGTTGATCGGTTGACAGTAGAGTAAAACCTGTCAAGGCGACCACTCAGATAATCTGACCACCTGTTCTAGAAGACCACTGAAACCAAGATCAAGGGATGCAATTTACACTCCAATGACCCTTGATAAGGAGACCACCTGGCACCAGAGACCACATTTTGAAGGTCCCTTGAGCAGTCGTCTTAGACAGGTTTCTACTGTGTGTTAGAAGGCGCAGGAGTCACTGTGTCGAAACCAGTCTGGCACTCAGCCACTCTGAACCCTCCCTGAACACCCTCTCTGCTTGTGCCCTGGCTCCCCCTCTTTTCACTCTTCTATAATGACTGGATCATCTTTCCATCTCTCGCCCTCTATACAATGCATTCTTCCCCTCCCGACCCGACCCCCTCCGTCCGATCCTCCACGCTCTTTGGTGCACTGAAGTGCGGCTGAAGGAGAAACCTCCGGTCGGCGGCAATGCTCCAGTTTCAACAGCACAGCTTCATACACCTATATCATGCACTATTCTGTGCTCCAGGGTTGTTGTTTCTCGTAAAAAAAATTAAAAATGACAAAATTACTAGCTATGCTCCCCCAATCCAGTACATGCAGTACATGCAGTACATGTGTGGTACTACAAAACTGAGCAGCGAAAGTCGGACCCGGCTCGGCTATAAACATAATGTACATATACAGTAGATACAGTAAAACCTGGCTAGGACGACCGCTCAAGGGACCTTCAAAATGTGGTCTCTGTTCCCAGGTGGTCTCCTTATCAAGGGTTATTTGAGTGCAAATAGCATCTCTCGATCCTGGTTTCAGTGGTCTTCTAGAACAGGTGGTCGGATTCTCCGAGTGGTCGCCTTGACAGGTTTTACTGTGTTGTGCTCCGACTTCACTGGCTCCAGCCGGTGTGTATTCTTGTGCCCGTGTACATACATGTACATTCTACAGTCAAAAGGTGCATTTTATCATACATGTACATGTAGTTACGGTATGATCAGAAAGGCAAGAAAAATGGGGGGGGGGGGAGAGACACCTTTCAAAAGATTTGAGCAAGGCACGGCAAAAAAAAGAGGTAAATCACTACTGTACAACGCGTTATTTTCATTTTAATTTCGGTAATTTCGGTAGAGACACCAGGCACCTAAATTTAGATTACACCTAAAAGGTGATAGAGGACACACTGTATGTGAAGGGTAGGCTGGTCAACTAATTCTACACTACACCTAAAACCTGGCAGGTTTCTATCACCGAAATTTAAACAAACCTAAAATTACACGTTGCACACTAATCAGCTGACGCACACGCTTTTTATTAGTTTTGACCAATTGGCACGCAAAGTGCGAGAGAGGGGTGATAGCCAACCACAGCAAGAAAAGAAAAGAATAAAGAAAAAGAGAAGAGGGAAGGATGGACAAGAATCCAGCAAGGAGATCCTATTGTACTATCGTACTACATTATGCGATCGGAGTGCATTTTTAAAGCTGGAAAGACATTTTGATGTCTTAACATGCTGGGGAAGTTGAAGCCAACAGCTGTAGGACAAAAACAGAGGAGAGTTGGTAAATGCGGCGAATTAGCACGGGGAAGTGAGAGACTATTACGAGTGGACCGGCGCTTAGTTAGAGGCCAGCCGAAAAACCTTGAACGCTGCACTCCTGTAGAGGTTACAAGGGGTGCCGCGTGTCAGCTGACGCTGGTCACTAGCTTGAGAACTCTGTGCGTCTATGTGCAACAAAAAAAACAAAACAAAAAACGACCAAAATGAGAGAAAATTCGCCTCGTGATCGTGAACACGTGAAACACAGAGCTGCAACACAGCTTCCAATCTCTCTCTCGTGTAAATACTGTCAGGCTGGTCCCTTTATCATCCGGCCGTCTGCACATGGAAGCACAGTTTTTAGCCAGGAGGCCAGTCAAACTTAGGGTACTAGTATATAATTACTGCAGCAGTTTTGTGAGGACAGCTAATTAGTCATGCACTGGACAGTACAATGTTCCACTGTGAGCAAAGCAACTTTGCAAAAAGATTTTTCCCAAAAAGAAATCGGGAAGATGATCATAAAGGAGGTTCCGTAGAGTTAATAAGCTACCCAAAACCTAGTTAACTTTGACACTACTATGCACAATGTATGCTCAATCAGGCGGAGGCGAGGGAGCATAAACATGGCCCATGTAGATGACTGTACATGGTACGTTTTCATACATTTTAAATATGGTAAGCATGTACACGCACGCATGTATGTACAAGCCGTAGAAAAAGAGTTGCTAGCTTTCCAAGAATCCTATAATCTACAAATCACTTACGCAATAATTTTCGCCACACCCTGCAGAGCAGCTCCCTTGAGGAACTCAGCCAAAATCTCCAGTAGCTGCTCACACGTCAAGTCTATCTTCTTGTTGATGTAATGAAGCTGGCCAGAAACGTTGTTAACAGTCGGTGCACCACGCCGGTGATTCTCAATGAAGGACTCTATGATGTTCTCGTAATTGTTGACAAATCCACCTGCTCTTGAAACTAGTTCTCTTGCTAGTTGCTCTGGAAAAGAGAGTTTGACAACGACAACGGAAGGCAGAGGTAGAGAGAGAACGAGAGAGAGAGAGAGACAGAGAGAGAGAGAGAGAGAGAGAGAGAGAGAGAGAGAGAGAGAGAGAGAGAGAGAGAGAGAGAGAGAGAGAGAGAGAGTGACAGAGAGAGAGAGAGAGAGAGAGAGAGAGAGAGAGAGAGAGAGAGAGAGAGAGAGAGAGAGAGAGAGAGAGAGAGAGAGAGAGAGACAGAGAGAGAGACAGACAGACAGACAGACATACAGAGAGAGCGAGAGACAAAGACAGAGAGACAGAGAGACAGAGAGAGTAAGTTACGTTTATAAATAGGGGTGAAACGGTTACCCTTTAAGGTAACAAACGGGTATCTGGCTTAACGGGCGGGTTATCGATTACCCTTTATCCGCAATACTTTTTTTCCAAAAACATTGCATTTGCTTGGGATCGTAAGCGCAACATGTATTTTACAGGCATTCTGAAAGGAGAGAGATTTTCGGGCAACAGTTACTACTATAGCCTTCCGGACTTCACGCCAGGGGAATATGCGAAGTCATGCAAGTACACTACACCGCAACAAGCACAGCGTGCACACTCACTGCGCTACATGCAAACAGTGAAAATTGTCATGGCCAGCAATCGAGGACATCTGAGAGTCGTAATTTTTGGACTCCTCCGAGGTGTGATTTTTGGCATGCTGGGCCAAACACAAGGAAGCCATCTGCAAAAAAACTGCAGAAAATGGTTGTTGTTTGATCCTTTGGTGTAATCTTTGTTTCTAGTCGAAGCTAGTTGCTGTTTGGAGCAGAAACGCTGAAATTGACTATTTTCTGCATGTACTCAGGCATGCAGTCTCACTCATATTTTAGCTCTTTTTCTGGAATGGATGCTGCTCTGCGCCCCTTGGTGAACATTTCCTGCGCTCATGGAGCAGCTGAAAAGGACCACTGGTATGTCTGGTTCTTGGTTTGAAAGTGGAGAGTCGACTTTTGTGCCTTGAAAAAGGAGTAGAGAGCGATAAAGGTACGTCTGTGGCTTATTTTTGAGTGCTCCTCGTACATTTTTGATCGTGATAGAAATTCTCAGACCAAAGTCAGACCAAAGTCAGCGATGATGGCCGTACAGTTTTCTTGTGGATTTTTTAGTTGTTTCATCTCGTATCTATGTCAGTATCGTGATGGTGAAGTGGAGAGGGTGATTTTCTTCCTCTAGGCTTCGTTCGGCCGACTTTGCTTCGTCCTCGTTGAAAAGTGATCCTGAAAAAAAGGTCGATTCGCAAAATTATGTTGATTTTCAATGTACGTGATGACATGCGATTGCTGGCTATGCGTAGCTACAATGGATACTGTGATACCAGGATTGAACGAGGAAAAAAACACTCAAAACTGCATATGCACCGAACTGTACAACTGTACAAGCAAGCTTATAATGCTGTACCCTAAAACCCGACACGACAATTGGGTACTCATTTGCTAACGGATCAGCAGCTAAACAGATGGGTACCCGGGTTACCCGGATCACCCCTTTCACACCTATATATAAAGACAGGTAAGTCTAACAAATGAGGACTGAGACCCCTACAACACGGTTTTTACGCCTGAAAGCAGGTGCATGATTTAACAAGTAGGTTGTCAGTCTAGATTTTATGCGCAGATGGAGAAAAACGCGCAGAATTTTTGTAATGAGATGAAAACCAGAAATAATAAGAAAAGCTGAAATGAAAGCCTGCTCACAACCCCGCCCAGCCTTGAGAATTGGTATGGTGGATTAAGAACCCAGGTTCAACGCTCGAGCAAGCGAAAGAGA